TACCAGATTCATAGTTCAAAACAATAACTATAATGATGCTCAAGGAACTTAATAAGAACTTCAAGAAACTTAGGGAGAACTTCAAGGAACTTAATGAGATCATCAACTACATAACAAAGAACCAGTCAGAGGTGAAGGAGACACTAACTGAAATGAATAATAATTTACAAGGAACCAACAGTAAAGTAGATGAAGCTGAGAATCAAATCAGTGATTTGGAAGATAAGGAAGCAAAAAACACCCAACCAGAAGAACAAAAAGAAAAAGGAATCTAAAAATATGAAGGCAGTGTCAGAAGCCTCTGAGACAACTTCAAGCGGCACAACATTCACATCATGGGAAAGCCGGAAGGAGAAGAAAGGGAGCAAGAAATTGAAAACCTATTTGAAAATATAATGACAGAAAACTCCCCCTACCTGGTGGAAGAAAGAGGCTTACAAGTCCAGGAAGCATAGAGAGTCCCAAACAAGAGGAACCCAGAGAGGCCCACAGCAAGACACATCATAATTAAAATGCCAAAGGTTAAAGACAGAAAAAAATCTTAAAAGCAGCAAGAGAAAAGCAGTTAGTTACCTACAAGGGAGCTCCCATAAGACTGTCAGCAGATTTCTCAACAGAAACATTTCAGGCCAGAAGGGAGTGGCAAGAAGTATTCAAAGTGATGAAAAGCAAGAGCCTACAACCAACTCTATCCAGCAAAACTGTCATTTAGAATTGAAGGTCGGATAAAGAGCTTCACAGATAAGAAAAAGCTAAAGGAGTTCATCACCACCAAGCCAGTACTACATGAAATGTTGAAGGGCCTTCTTTAAGAATAGTAAGAAGAAAAAGGTCAAAAATATGAACAATAAAATGGCAATAAATACATATCTATCAACAGTTGAATCTAAAAATCATAATAAACAAACAAGGAATCTAATGAATAAAATAAAGTGATGAACAAAATAGAACCAGAGGCATGGAAACATGGAACAGACTGACAAATCTCAGAGGGAAGGGGAGAGGGGGGGCAGGAAGAGATTAACCAAAGAACTTATATGCATACATGCATTAGCTATGGACACAGACAACAGGGTGGTAAAGGCCTGGGGTGAGGCAGGATCTGGATGGAGGGGACTAATGGGGGAAAAAAGGGGGGGACACCTGTAATACTCTTAACAATAAAGATTTTTTTTTTTTAATTGGGTCAAACTCTTATTAGATATCATCCCTAATTTCTTGCTTTTTTTGAAAAAAAACTTTTAAATTGATTTTTAGAGAGAGGGAGGGAGGAAGGGGAGAGAGACAGAGAGATTAACATTGATGTGAGAGAAAAATACTGATCTGTTGCCTCCAGTATACACCAAAACCAGGGATTAAACTGGCAACCTTTTTGGTGTACGGGATGACGTTCCAACTGACAGCCACACTGGTCAGAACAATTTCTTGATTCTTTAAATATCATTCACACATTTCCAGTATTATCTTCCTAAAACATGAATGTTTTCATGTCACTGTTCTTCTAAAAAACCTAGTCATTTTGTAGGGCCTAGAATAAAAGATCTAAGATGTGGCATCTAGGCCCTCTGTGAATTCTCCAAGCTTGCTTATAGCTTTGCTTTGAAATACTTCACCCCAATTCCAGTGAAGAGTCTTCCCTCCAGCACTTGTGAAAATTCTTGACCTTTTACTCCAATTCCACCTCTTTAGTACTCTCTTATACACCATATACTCTTTGTTTTACAGAAACCCCTCATGGCTGTAATGAGGTGTTCAGTGCAGTGAGGCAGCTGGATGGCGCACACTGTGATTACAGAATGTGTCTACTCACTGTGAGCTGCTGGCACATGGAAGGCACACAGCAGGGCCTGATCACCACCTGTTGAATTTGTGGACATACATAACCTATCAATGAAAAAGCTAAAGGCATAAAAAGGATTTAGTGAAACTAGGAAGTATGGGAGAATGAGAAACAAAGTTTTAAACAAAATATGGAAGTTTTTAGATGGATGCTTTAGTAAAAGCCTCTAGAACTTTAGGAAAGACAGTTGGCTCAAGACAGAAGCAACTACTGCAATTCCTGGCACGTAAATGCCTGTTGAATAAACAATATGAATAGTTGTTTAAAACAAACATAAGAAATAACATGCTGAGCACCCACTCTGCAGAAAGTATGTGAATCACATGCTAAGCTAAGACCTTCTTCTGATTTTGAGAAGCACAGGGGCTTATCTAGAAAGACAGCGTCTCCAGCTGTGAACAGCATCATGAAATGGGTTGGGGTCCCTGAGAAACACAAGGAGGCAGGACTAATCACAGTGGCTGAGTTGCTATTTGAATGTGTTTTTACTGATTTCAGAGAGGAAGGAAGATGGGGAGAGAGAAACATCAATGATGAGAGAGTCATTGATCAGCAGCCCCCTGCACACCCCCTACTGGGGATCAAGCCCAAAATCACCACACTGTTGCTGTCTGTGTCCATGAGGTTTTTTTCGGTTTTGTTTCTTATGCTTAATCCCTTTACCTTTTTCATCAAGCTCCCCAACCCCCCTCCCCTCTTACAAGTGTCAATTTGTTCTCTGTATCTACATGTCTGTTTCTATTTTGTTTATTTTGTTCATTAGGTTCCACATATAAGCGAAATTATATGGTACTTGCCTTTCTCTGTCTTCAACTTTTAACATCAAAGTGCTTGTATCAATTTAAGTAGCAGTATATGAGAATAACTATTGTTCCATATGCTACATGGTCCAACAGTGGGTACTGTCAGACTTTTTACTATTAATCACTCTGGTGGGTGGGAAATGGTATCTCATGGTGATGTAAAATAGTCTGCCCTTATTTCGGGATTAATGCTGACATGTATTTATTGGCCATTCGAATTTTGATTTTTGTGAATAGTCTATTTTCTACTGGATGTCTGTCTTTTCCAATCAATTTTTGGAGTTCTTTATATATATTGCCCGGGCTATACAAAATGCTCAATAAAAAATGCTTTGCCATACATATGACTTATGATCGCTTTTGCCATTTAACGTATATAAGACACTTCTGTGTCAATAGATACAAATCTATTCTGTTACTTTAAGGTAATAGGGTCAGCCATATATCACAGACCATCATTTAACCAATGAGCTTATATTAATAATCTTGAATTATTTGTAATTCTCACTACTTGATACACTACAATGAGTGATATCCTTGTAGGATATTTTTGTACATCTGTGTAGAAATATTTGTTAGATGGAATCTTAGAAGCAGAATGGTTTAATACTTAGTAAAGGCTGATTAAATGACCTATATAAAGAATCTACTGCCCTGGCCTGGTGGTTCAGTCGCTTGGAGCTTCATCCCCTACACCAAAAGACTGCGGGTTCAATTTTTGATCAGAGCACTTATGGGAGGCAACAAATCGATGTCTCTTACATCGGTGTTTCTGTCTCTCGCCCCTCCTTCCTCTCTCTCTAAAAGTCAATAAAAACATATACTCAGGTGAAGATTTTTAAAAAATGATCTATCAATTTACATTTCTGTAAATATGTGAAAGTGCTTATTTTGGAGAAAGTTTTAAAATTCTCTTCGTTTAGTTCCTGTAAGTCTGTAAGCCTTGCCCAAGCCCAGTTTTACACCAGTCTATAATCTCATTCAGTTCTGTGGCTTGAGTACAACCCATCCACATGCTATAGGACCCTAAAGATCCTGCTCAGGGCTTCTCTTCTGAGCTGCAAAACCAATTACATTCTCCCTTGACCTGTGTCCATCTCAGGAAGTGTCTCTCCCACTATGAAGCTGTTCATGCCAGAAACCTGGGCTTCATATTCTTAATTCCTCTTCCTTCCCCTTTCCTTATATTTAACAAAATCTTAGGTGCCCCTACCCATAAGTAAATCTCCCTCTCTTGAATTACTGCAATGGTCTCTTAAATGGTGCCCTGTCTTTAAACTTGACTTTTCCATGCACTTCGTAAGTCACACTACAGAGCTATCTTTCAAAAATGCAGAATTGGTTATGCTCCTCCCATGCAGCATCTGGGTGAAGCCTCAAACCTTCAACACCATCTGCCCAGCCACTTCTCCCCCTGCACTGGATCCTGCAGTCCTCAGATCACTCTCACTTCCCACAAGTGCCGGTGCCATTGCAGGCCTTCCTCCACACTCTCCTTCTGCCTAGAGCATTATCCCTCATCTTATCCCTCTGTCCCCAAACCTTCAAGTTTCATTTTAAATATAACGCAGTCACATTTTAAAAATATTTGGATCTGTCAGGTTTGAGATCCCCAGACATTCAAACAGACTTGTCAAGAAAGCAGCTGAAGTTACCAGGATATGGACAGTATACAGATGATCGAATCACCTGGAGAGAAGAGAAGAGGTTTCACTCCTGAGACCAGATGCAAAAGAACTGAGTGTTGGAAGGAGGAGGACCATCTGGGTTGAATGCTGCTAAACCCTGCTAACAACTCCAGGTAGGTACCTCTTGCAAGTTTCTACAACACTCACTTCCCCAGTCACAGAAATGTTCGTACAATTTAATACCAAGGCAGCTATTTGTCTGCTGACTGTAAGAAGTATGTCGGCGAGATCCATGATGGTGGCAGTTTAGGTGAAAGCTACGCTCACCTCCAAGGACCAAACTGGAATTACAACTAAAGTATATAGAAAACCATCCTGAATAACCAACTGAAGATGAGCTGGAGAGCACCCTCATAACCAAGGAGGAAAAGGGGAGACTACATATAAACTGGTAGGAAGTACAGAGGCACGAGAGAGCTGGCCAGGCTCCTATACGCAGCAGCTGAAGTTCTGGAGGGGTATCTCAGCTGCGGGGGGTTCCCACTGAGGACTCGGAGGTCTAAACCCCAGGCAGGGCTCCCCAACCCACAGCACCAGGACTGAGAAAGGTGCCCACATAACATCCGGCTATGAAAAGCAGCAGGGTTTCTGTCTGCCAGGGAGAGGCGGGTAGAAATGCAGGCACCCTCTTAAAGAGTCAATGCACAAAATTCACATGCAGCCACTCACCTTGGGCTCTGCAGAGGGAAGGCAGAGTAGACTAGAGGAGAGTCTGGGGTTGGTGGCTCTGGGAGAGAGCTGAGAGGTCAGCTGACAGGATCTCTTTGCTTAGTTATCCCCCTATGCTGCAGAAGCCATCTTTTTCAGGCAGAGCATTCCCCTCCATGCAGCATCAGCCTAGGAGGAAGCAATATTCCTACTTATTGGAATCCCTCTTGCCCCACCCTGTATAGTTTACATCCTGCTGAGGAGTACAGCCTGAGGCTCTTTAAGTGACCAAGCCTAATGGACTGCAGGCAGAGGCAGATCTCTGGGTGTTTTGAGACTTTTGCTGACATGCTCCTGGGCCCAGTGCTAGTAAAAGCAGACCCTGGTGCACAGCTTGGTCCTTTCCACACTCACCCAGGCAGAGAAGAGGGAACTCCAAGCTGTGGATCACTGAAAGCTCCAGAAAGGTTGCCCAGGGCCAGTCACAGACAGCGACTGACACTGGAGAGCACCAGAGTCCTTCTGAAGAGACCAATACACCCAGTGGCCAGCTTCAGACAACAACAGTGCAGGATCCAATAAGCTTCACAAGCAGCATATCCACAGGGGGATCTCGGCAGGCAGCAAACACTGCTGAGGCAAATTTGGCTTCATGAGGTCAGAACTTGCACAGCAGCTTGCATGCTGTGTTGGGGGTTGAGCCTCACCAGCCTGAGGATCGTTCCCACACACAAAAGGACCAATAGCAAACAAGATTTAATTACAATAGGAAGGCCCACATAACACAGACAAGGGACATTCTTGGAGCACCCATCTCAGGTGCTCATAGGGAGACTGCACCACTGTGTCCCACAGGTCACCCTACATAAGGTCACCCTAGCAAGACTGGGGAGTTGTAGCAGATCTACCTAATACATAGAAACAATCACAACAGGCAGCCAAAATGGGAGACAAAGAAATAGGCCCCAAATGAAAGAACAAGAGAATTACCCATAAAAAGAGCTAAGTGAAATGGAAGTAAGCATTTTATCATTGATAGAGTTCAGAGGAATGATTATAAGGATGCTCGAGAGCATGAAAAAGGACACAGAAACCATAAAAAGGACCAGTCAGAAATGAAAAATGTTATATCTTAAATAAATAATACACTGGAAGGAATAAACAGCAGGCTCGATGAAGCAGAGGATCAAGTCAGTGATTTGGAAGACAAGGTAGAAAAAAACACCCAATTAGAACAGCAAAAGGAAAAAAGAATTTTAAAAAATGAGAACAGTTTAAGGCACCTTTGGGACAACATGAAGCTTAACAATATCTACATCATAGGATAACCAGAAGAAGAGAGAGCAAGGGATTACAAACCTACTTGAAGAAATAATGAATGCAAACTTCTCTAACCTGGTGAAGGAAAAATACATACAAGTGCAGGAAGCACAGAAGGTCCCAAACAAGATGGAGCCAAAGAGGCCCACACCAAGACACGTCATAATTAAAATGGCAAAAGCTAAAGACAGAGAATCTTAAAAGCCACAAAGAGAAAGGCAGTTAGTTACCCACAAGGGAGCTCCCATAAGACTGTCAGCTGTTTTCTCAAGAGGACATACAGATCGTCAACAGACATATGAAAAGATGCTCAATGTCACTAGTCATCAGAGAAATGCAAAGTAAAACCACAATGAGTTATCACCTTATACCTGTCAGAATGGCCACCATCAACAAATCAACAAACAACAAGTGCAGGGGTGGGTATGGATAAAAGAGAACCCTCATGCACTGTTGGTGAGAATGCAGATTGGTGCAGCCACTGTGGAAGGCAGTATGGAGTTACTTGAAAAAAATAAAAACAGAACTGCCTTAGGGCCCAGCAATTCCACTTCTGGGAATTTATCCAAAGAAACCCAAAACACTAATTCAAAAGAATATATGAACTCCTATGTAGACCACAGTATTACTTAAAACAGCCAAGACTTGGAAGCAGTTCAAGTGTCCATCTGTAGATGAGTGAATAAAACAGCTTTGGTACATTTACACCATGGAATACTACCTGACAATAAAAAGGGAAATTTTACCCTTTGCAACAGCATGGATGGAACCGGGGAACATTATGCTAAGTTAAATAAGCCAGTCAGAGAAAGGCAAGTACCATATGATTTCACTCATATATGGAATTTAATGAAGAAACTGAACAAACAAGCAAAATGAAGACAGACTCATAGAGAGCAAGCAGGCAGCTCTGGGGTGGGGGGTGTTGAGGGATTGAGAAAAAAGAGAGAAAAAAGAGAAAAAATCATGGACAAAAGTGTGGTGACTGTGGGGGGGTTGGGGTGGAGGTGGAAGAGCATATGGGGGATAAATGGTGATGAAAAAAAGAAATTAAAATAAAAAAAGAAGTATGTCAACATTCTTTATTGTTACAGATTTCAGCAATGAGCTAGAGATTCACTCAATAAAAATGTGTTAAATGATTTAATCATCAGTGTACATATGTACAAGTACTTAAGAAATTTACATACTATTTGGGGAAAACAGATGGAAACCACTATTTATAATATAAAGTAGGGTGACATCAGTGCTGGTGAAGTAATGGACCGTCGTGCTGTGGAGAACCTCAGGACTAGAGAAAATTTTTGGAAGGGAACACGTTTAGGTTAGGGACTGAAGAAAAGAGCAGGCTGTGAGAACATGGGTATTTGCGTTTTTATAAGGATAGTACTTGCTTGCTTTTTTAAAAAATCCTCACTTGAGGATATGTTTATTGATTTGAGAGAGAAAGAAACACAGATTGGTTGCCTCCCTTAGGAGCCCTGACTGGGGATCAAACCTGCAACCTAGGTGTGTGCCCTGACTGGGAATCGAACCAGGAAGTGAACCTGCAACCTTCTGGTATACAACCCACTGAACAACCCAGCCAAGACAGTACTTGTTTGCTTTTAATGCTGTTAACTGACCCCACTGTGGCAAGACAGAAGTTATACACACGTGTGCCTGTAATTGGCAGCACTCAAGCTCTTCACTTGTGGAAAATGTAAAGAGGAGTATTTTAATTAAAATACTATTGTTTATACATGACTAATCTCAACAGTGGAGTGATTATGGATGACCTTAGAATTTCTAAATTTTCAATTCTGCTATAATTTGGCGGGATGTATGTGGGTGGGGGTAGCTTTGTTCTTTTAAAGATCAGTTTCATTTGGGCAAAATGAGAAAAAAAATAATTAAAAAACAATAACCTGGCACATATACAAACAGTCAGTAATTTCCAGAATACTATTCTTATAAAAATTCCATAAGTCCCTGAGAATACTTTGAAAGTTCCACTCACATATCTGGCAGAATTAAAATTAAATTTCTCTTTAAAAATGGAAATGTAGCATAATAAATGAAGTTAGCATTGATTTTTTTCCCTACATTTAAATGCTAAAAGACTCTAGTGGAAATGAAGATGATATCACCCACCAGTAATGAGGAGAAACACACTATATTTTATTAAACCTCAAGTAAGCTTCATTGCCTATGAGTGATGGGTTACACTAGTTGCCAAAGCTGTCCTTTTCACGAAATACCTTTGTAAATGGTGCGGTCACCCTGGGTTACAGCCATCTCCTTCAGACAGTGCATCAGTGGAAAAGAATCCCCATCTCAGCAAATGTTCAAACTACCACATGTGTAGTCTTCTCACAAACCGCACGTTAATCATGGGTTTCAGGGTTTACAGGAGGAAAATGACAGGAAAAGACCAGATCTGGAGGCTGTGGCTGGGATGGTTCTTCCCACAAGGGGAATGCCACGTCCACAAAGCCAGGAATGCCTGGGGGTCCGCGGTGGTCTTCCTTTAGAGCCAGAGCCTTCCCCGAGGAGGCTGTGGCTCACCCAGTCCATACTGGGAGAGGAGTGGCAGAGAGGGACTCAGCGACGGCCCAGCAGTGGCTGCACAGCTCTGTCTCCAAGGCCTCGGGCAGCCTGGTTTTTATCTGGAGGACAGACCCCTATGGCTTTATGGGTGTGTGGGGCCTTAAGGGTGATGAAAGTTGGTTCCTGCTATGAGGCTGCAAAACACGGTTCTACCCATCCTTCCATGTTTGCCAGGGGAGGGGGAATTGCAGGGATCAGCTGGCGAGTGACTCCAGCTTGACTATTAGGGAAAAAAGAGATCAGACCAACTTGGGAGTTCCTCTCAGTTCTCCCATTTCCTTCCTCATGTAGCCTCTGTAATGCTCCAGATCACCTCCTCTGTAAGCTGCAGGGTAACCATCCCGAGCACCATGCCCAGCAGAGTGCTGGCATTTGGCACACAGTGGGACTCACTAATGCTGGCCCCTTGCTTCTCCCACCCCAACATGCACAGGGTGTGTAGGAAGAGGTGAGGACCTAATTCTGCCAATAAATATATTAAAATTGCCTATTCCTAGGTTACTTTAAAACTCTACAATATTATTTAAATGCTTAACAACATACATTTTTAACTTTGAATGCACACTCTTGTGTCAAAAAAAAATGACTTACTGTAGTTTTTAATAATGGAGGCTAAATACCAAATGTAGTTTTCTTTGTACAAAATTTCTTCTGTAATGAAAACTCTGTCGAAATCCTGTCAGAAAACTACAAGTGTTAAAACTTGGTTTGGATAAGCAAAACAATGTCCTGGCTCTGTGGACATGATATCAGTTCACATCTACATTCAAGCCTTAAGTTAAAGAATCAGCTATAGAAAACAGAGATGAAACTAAGCTTCGCAAGGAGCCAGTGAAACCAGTGGTTGGGTAAATCTAGCATTTCTGCACTTCCACAGATGATCAGAGAGGACATCCTGTTCTTCTGGATGTGTTGATGCAGTGCTTGGGACAGGCCCAAGCCAAACTGGCCAAATGGAAGCTGGCAATTCGAGTACAAAGCTCAGGAAACATTTTAAAGCTTAAAATAGATCTGTAGCTCATTGACACATGTTAAAACAATGTAATCAGTGCTCCTTTGTGCTTGCTTAATGAAGGAACAAGACCCCGAGGGAGAACAGGGTGGGAGCGTCCACATTTAGTGTCAACAGGGGGAGCAGCAGAAGGTGAAGAGAAGGGCAAAAGGAAGAGTGGACTGACTTCCAGGAACCTGGCAATCCGGCAGAAAATGACAAGAAAGCAGGAGGTGATGGAGGCTTCAGGGCCACTGGGATGCCTGAGGGCGCTCTGCTGCTGGACTGCAGAAGACAGGAACACATGGGAGGTGAGCGCATGGAGCCATCTCCTAGAGGTCGCTTTTTCAAGGAATTAAGGAGAGAATGGGATGAAGGCATATAGACGCAGTCTGAGGACAGCCAGACAGGAAGATTCTCTCTGGCTGGCAGAAGGCTGAGCACGTTAGCAGGCGAAGGAGAAACTAAGATCATGCAACCGCCAAGTTCCCAATTCAAGGATGCAGGCTCTACTGCGACCCCTCCAAGACCTGGTCACTGCCATCATTTAACACCTGGTTTCCAAGGTCACACTCTTGACACACACAAGTCATGCACGTGGGTCATGAGTCCAAAAGATGGAGACCTGGAAGGTGTGAATTCATACCCAAGACCAGACTGGTAGAGACTTAAGGCTCTCCACCTGACCACAGACAAGCTCATGAAGATGCTCTCTTCATTCATGTATGAGAAACTATGTGCTTCTCACATATTTATTTGCTGTACTTTTGAGAATCTCCCCCAACAAATTATTTCAGAAGTTCCCTTGATTTGTGTTGTACTTACAAAAGAACTCCCCTCATCTCAGGAGCTAAGTATATGTCAAAATACACGCCATCACGTAGGACATCATTTTGGGGAACTGAGGTGCAACACAAACCACCATCCCCAAGTTCTTACCACATTCCCATAGGTTTCTCCACCCAGAACACTTTCTCCCCTGAAAACTATGGTTACCACTCACAATACTTCCTGGCTTCCAGTCCTAGTCCCATACATGGCCCCCGGTGAGAGGGTCTCTGAACTAGGCTCCACGCTGGCCTCCTGTGCTCATGCCAAAGGCTCTTTTATTAAAAAGCAGTTTCAGATTCACAACAAAACTGAGAGGAAGGTGCAGAGGTTTCCCATATAGCCCCAGTATCCCCTCCAGCCTCCCTCATATCAACATTCCCCACTATAATGGCACATTTGTTACAACTGATGAACCTACATGACACATCATAATCACACAAGTCCATAGCTACATTAGGGTTCACTCGGGGTATTTCACGCTGTGTGGGTTTAGACCACTCTATAATGACATGTATCCATCTTTATAATACCATACAGAATATTTTCACTGCCCTAAAAATCCTCTGTGCTCCATCTATTGATCCCTCCCTCTCCCCAACCCCTAGCAACCTCTGATCTTTTTACTGTCACCAAGTTTTGCCTCTTGCGGAATGTCACACAGTTGTAATCATGCAGCGTGTAGCCTTTCAGAGTGGCTTCTTTCACTTAGTAATGTGTAGTCAAGGTTCCTCCATGTGTTTTCATGGCTTGATAGCCCATTTCTTTTTAGCACCAAATAATATTCTGTCTTTTGGATGGACCACAGTTTATTTATCCATCACCTACTGAGGACATCTTGGTTGTTTCTAAGTTTTGGCAGTTATGAAAAAAGTTGCTATAAACATTGTGTGGATTTTGTGTGGACGTAAATTTTAAGTTCATTTGGGTAAATACCAAGGAGCACGACTGCTGGAGTGCAGGGTAAGAGTATGTTTAGTTTTGTAAGAAACCACCAAATTGCCTTCCAAAGCGCTGTACCACTGCGCTCCCAACGGAAACGGGTGAGAGATTGTTCCTGTTGCTCCACATTCTCACCAGCTTTGGGTGTTATCAGTGTTTTGGATTTTTGCAATTCTTCTTTTTTTTAATTGATCTTAGAGGGAGGGAGTGAAAGGGAAAGAGAGAGACATCGATGTGAGAGAAACATCCATCAGTTGCCTCCTACACGTGCCCTGACTGGGGATTGTATCTGAAACCTGGGTATGTGCCCCGACCAGGAATCAAACATGCAACTTTCCTGGTGCACACTCCAACCAACTGAGCCGCACGGACCAGGGCTGGGTCTCTGCAATTCTAATAGGTGTGCAGTGGCACCTCACTGTTGATTTAATCTCCAAAAATTCTTTTCCTTTCTGACTGTTAGAACCCTCCCAAAGGTTTGGTAGCACTATGCTACCTGCTTATGACTGAGAATGCAGGGCTAAAACACTGACCAAAAGCTCTGAACAGGTGGGTGCAGACGATCAACTTGGGGCTTGTACTGGGTCGTCCTGTAGTGAGTTTGGACTCTGAACACGAGGGTTCCCTGTCCCACCGCCACACAGAGCCAAGTGGATGAGAACATGAGTTCCATTTGGGGGCAGATGTCTAATACTTGGAACAAATCATAGAGACATCAGGAGGATTGGGGTCATCAGCCCTGCTATTCTTTTTAAACATTTAATTATTTTTATTAATTTACTTTTATTGTTGCAAGTATTACAGATGTCTACTTCCCCTCTTCCATTGGTCCCCTCCACCCTGCCTGTGCCCCCTCCCAGGCCTTCACCACACTACTGTCTGTGTCCATGGGTTACGCATTTATGCATATAGGTTCTCTGGTTAATCTCCCCCCGTCCCACCTCCTCCTTCCTTCTGAAATTCATCCAACTATTTCATGCTCCTATGTCTCTGGATCTAATTTGCTCATTAGTTTAGTTTGTTCCTTAGATTTCATATGTGAGTGAGATCATGTGGCACTTGTCTTTCTCTGGCTGGCTTATTTTGCCTAGCATAATACTCTCCAGTGCCTCCATGCTGTCACAAGGGGTAAGAGATCCTTCTTTTTCACAACCACGTAGTATTCCATTGTGTGCCCTGCTACTCTTAAGTGCAGTTTCCCAACGAACCTTACCACTGCTAGGATCTATGATTTCTAAACCTGGAACACCCACAGAGCCAGCCTCTCCCACACATGTTTTGGGCTGTAGTGTTGTCCATCAGACAGAGCCCATGTGCCTTCAGTCTTTAAGAAATTTCTCTGAATTTCTTCTCTTCTAATACTGCTAATTATTTTGCAGGGCAATGCTAAATTTAAAAAACAAATGTAGACTTTATTATTTTTAGGAATTTGGGTGGCTCATGTGCTCAGGCCATCATCTTGATTTGATCTATCCAGGTCATTTTAAAATTTTTGGAAAAACAGAACTGTAGCTCTTCTCTTGTCAAATTATTTGGACCCCTGAGGTAGAATAATAAGAATTTTAAAAATTCTTAAATTTAAAAAATTTTAAAAATTCTATAATTACCTAGTCTATGACAGGTACTTTATATATTATTCATTTATTTGCACAAAAATTTGAAAGGTATTACCATCCCTGTTGTACAAAGGAATAAACTTTAGACAAAAACAGTAGTAATGCCCCCAAAGTCACCTACCTGTAAGCAGTGGTTCAGGCCTGGAGCCCTGACCTGCCTCTGACCGGCCCCCTCGCAGATGAAGGAACTCAGGCCAAAGCACACAGTCACTCTGCCAGAGGAACCATACTCAGAAGACTCCCAGCTCCCCGCACATTTTCCTGTTATTGCTTCAAGGTGGAGAGTTACATAATTTCAATGACATTACTATGCGGCAGCCTTCTGTTTTGTTAACCATGCTGCACGAGGGCGGAGGGGAGATGATGAGAGTTAATGAGCCCGGCCCCAACTAAGGGCGGCAGGAATGCAGTTCCTCCACCTTGGCCACAGTGTCTTCCCTGCAATCTGATAAAACTCAGGTGGGATCACACAGGAATGGATAAATGTTAACAATTTTTATGCTAAGTCTATGAAAACCAGATTTCTTAATCAACCCTCACTTTCGTGCTCCCAACCAACCATCTCAGCCTACAGACCAATGTTTTCCCTGCTGCTGCTTTCCACTCTTCCTGCAACTTAGAAAAATATTTTCCTGGTAACCATCTTCCCTGGTTACTCTCTTGGCTGATTTTCTGCACAAAGAACTGAAAGGCATTTATCCCCAAGGGAAGCATTTATTTTAGATTTTACTAAGAAGTCAGTTCACATTTTTCAACATTGCCTTCTGTTCTTTGTTTGAAAGAATGCTCTGGTTTTGTTTCATTTTCAGCTGAAGACTTAAATGACACCAACCAAAGCCTACTTAGTTTAGATTTCCAGGTAAAAAAGTTTTATACTTTAAGTTTCTGCTACAGCATGTGGAATGGTTTTAATATTTGGGTGTTTTATGTTGTAAATATGTTTAAGACTTGAGGAAATGAGCTCTTACTAATAGATTTTTAAAGTTTAAAATGTGCATTATTCTGTTTACTTGTTTTTCTCAGGGTGAAAACTTCCCAAGTATTTCAAACTTTATGGAATTGGGATTAGATATATTTTTATATGTTTAAATAGAATTACATGCTCAATAAAGTATAAGTTAGTTTGAAAAGTTTTCTTTCTCTATTTTTAAGTCCTAAAAGAACATAAAAGATTAATTAAAACCTTTTTAATTTTAAGCCTGTTGAGTGAAGTTAAAATGGATAACACACGTCTCACGGCGTCATGGAGAAGTTTAAAATCCTAAATTTAGTATTGTAAAAGCTTACTTAAGAGTGCTGATGAAAAACTTTAAGGAGAAAAACAGTAAGTTAAATAAGATTTATAGATGGTATTTAATGTTGGGATAAACACAATAAGTGATAAAAGAAAAATTTACTTGATCATAATATCTACTGTGATTAGAGTGCCATAAAAGTTTACCTCTAGAAACATATTAACTCAACTGCAAAGTTGCTTATTAAATATTAAATGCAATGTGAAATTCTAAATAGCATTGAAAGTAACAAGGCCCAGGTATGAATTATAAACTAGTATTGAGAGGTCATTTCACAGAAATTACTTAAACATTTCAGTAAGACTATTTAGATTCTAATTTTGTTAAAGTTAAGATAGCTCTGCAAATTTATTTTTGTATATATCTATTTAGATTTCTGGATTAGTAAAAGGGAGCCAATTTGGGTGGGGAAAAGAAAAAGACTAAGGCAGATGGTTTCCTGGATGGGGAAACTGGGCTAGAGGTAAGTTCAGGCACCGTGCTAATTGAGTGCTCACAGGAGGCCCAGGGCCAGCAGGCTACCTGAGACTCCCCTGGGAGTTTATCTCCAGAGCCCTCAAGTCCAGGGCCCAGCTCCTCCTAACTCTGACCCACCATAGGAGGCCCTATACACATGACTATCGGAGCAAGAGCACGCCATGCACAGCACAGCAGCGATGCTCTCCATCCGAGCCCGCCTGTCCTGCCCCTCAGCAAATTCTCCTTCCAGCCTCCCTCACAGACAGCTTTCCATAAGCCTTCCCCTGCTGCTCTTGCCATTCCTTTCTAGTATTAGCCTGCTCTCTGAATTCACTTTTACAATTTTAGCTGCTTTTTAGCTAAGGGGTTTGCTAATTCCTTTCATTTTGCATGGTGGCTTTTCTAAAAGTAAGTTACAAAAAGTTGTTCATTTCAATGGCTTCAGAGTAAAACTTTCAGAACGACTGCAGTAGCTCACGTACACTGAAGAAAGCTCACAGCGCTGGGCGAGCTGATGTAAAGATGCCTCAGGGGCGGCAAGTCGGAACATGATGCGACGGCGACCTGACTAGAGGAAGATGATTTTGATCGATAAAGTTACAGAAAGAACTAGAGATTCAAGAGGGCAAACTGAGCAGATTTCACACCCTCTTCTCCTCTCATCAGATCCCTAGAAATAAAAGAAGACGAATTACAATTAAATACACAGATGAATATGTAGCTACCCTAGAAACAAGAAGGACTGCTGCTGAGACAGAAACTGTGAGGAGTCCTTCGAAGGCGGGAGGACATGAGAATGTGGGAGAAAACTAAGTAAAAGAGAGTTTGTGTGTGGGGAAAAGAGTTGTTAGATTAAATGATCCCAAGAAAGAGAAATTTAAAAACAAAAAACCCACCCTATACATTATAGTAAAACTTCTGAATACTAAAGATGAATCGAAAATGAGAAAAAACTTCTATAGAGGGAAAATAAGATTTCTTAGGAAAATATGAAAATCAGATTCAAGTTCAAGTTCTTACTTGTAACACTAGATATAAGAACTAATGGAATAATATCTGTAAAGTATTGATGGAAAATGATTTTTAAATAATTCTATTTCCAACCAAACAATATTTTCTGACATGAGAATTCAAAATTTTTACAACTAACAACATTCTCTTGTAGGACATGGATATATTTCAGCAGGAAATAAAACGAATCTGGAGTAGCTTCTGCTTCGAATAATGGCAGGCTAGGCCGTTCAGGTTGATCGACATACTGAGAATAATTAGACAGGACAGGAACGTAACAGGGTCACCATATGGGACAGGACTGAAACCCAACGAGGTTTGGAAAAGCTTTCCTTCTGGGGGCATCTGCAGATCCAGAAGAGGTGGCTGAGAAGCTTAGTATATAGCTTTCAAACAGCCTCATTAGGCAAGAGAGAAACCAAAATCAAGGAAAAGAGACAAGCAAGCAGCAGGGGTGGGATGGAAAACTGATGTGGTGAAATTACCAGGCTTGGTTTGGAAAACAAAGTGCTTCAAATCACTCAATCTATAATTGGTAGTGCCCTTAGGCTCATGCCCAAAGTTGATATAAATCCTTTTGGGATAAAGAATACATCATCCTAGACCTTCAATGGATTTTCATAGTTTTTTATATACGATGTCTGGCACTCAATCAAAAGTCATGAGGCATACAAACTGAACAACATGGCTAAAGACCTAAAGAAATACAGACAACAGAAAGAGACATACAGAGGATCCAGAAAATGGAGACTTCAGACACAAACTTTAAAAAATGTGATATGTTCAAAAAAGTAAAAAACAAGATTGAAAATTTCAGCAGAGTCAGAAGCAGTAAGAAGAACCCACCGAAAACTCCAAATACTAAAAACCAAACAAACCACACAACAGAAATAAGGAAGTTGATGAATGGATTTAATAGAAGATAAACCATAGGTGAAGAGATAATTAATGAACTGAAAGAGAGTGAAAGAATAACCAGGATGGACCAGACGGGTGTGGCTCAGCGGTTGAGCATCAACCTAGGATCCAGGCAATCAGGGTTCGATTCCCGGTCAGGGCACATGCCTGGGTTGTGGGCTCCATCCCCAGTTGGGGGCGTGCAGGAGGCAGCCCATCAATGACTCTCTCATCATTGATGTTTCTATCTCTCTCTTTCCCTCTCCTTTCCTCTCCCTGAAATCAATAAAGATATATTTAAAAAAAAAAAAAAAAAAGAATAATCAGGATGAATCACAGAGTCTCAGAAGGATGACAAATACAAGAAAGGGAAAGTGACATTAAAGACATAATAAGAAACAAACAAAACAGAAACAAATTCATAGATACAGAAAACAAACTGATAGTTGTCGGATGGGAGGGGGTTTTGGAGGGTCAGAGGCTGGGTGAAAAAAGTGAAAGGGTTAAGTAATACAACTGGCGATTACAAAATAGTCATGGGGCCTGGCCGGGCGTGGCTCAGCGGTTGAGCATCGACCTAGGATCCAGGCGATCGGGGATCGACTCCCGGTCAGGGCACATGCCCAGGTTGCAGACTCGATCAATGACTCTCTCGTCGTTGATGTTTCTATCTCTCTCTCTCCTTCTCCTTTCCTCTCTCTGAAATCAATAAAAATATATTAAAAAAAAAAAAATAGTCATGGGGATGTTAAGTACAGCAGCGAATATAGCAATATTATAATAATAATGTATAATATCAGGTGGGTACCAGACTTATCAGAGTGACCACTTCATAAGTTATATAAATGTCTAACTATGCTATACACCTGGAACAAATATAATACTGAGTGTCAACTATAATTGAAAAATAAAAAAAATTAAAAACCCAAACTGACAAAACAAAAATGATATAAGAAGACTATCATACATGTAATTGCAGTTCTAAAAAGAAAGAGGAGAGAGAAGTAAGAAAGTATTATTTAAAGAGACAGAGGCTTAGAAGTTTCCAAATTTGATGAATATGAAGTTACAGGTTCAAAAGTGCTATGAATCTCAAACAGGATAAAAGCAAGAGAATCGTATGTACAACGGAGTAAAACAGCTTAAAATCAAAGCCAGAAAGAACACCTTAAAAGCTGCCAGAAAAGAAGTCACTTTCAAAAGAGAAATAATTAGATTGACAAATGACTAATTAATAGAAACTACGAAAACAAAAAGACATTGGAATGAAATCTTCAAAATGCTGAACAAAAACACTTGTCAAGCTAGAATTTCGTATCTAGAGAACACAGCCTTTCAGAGTAAACATAAAATATAATATTTTCAGATAAACAAGAAGAGAATTGGTCATCAGTCATCCTGCACTAAAAGAATTTAAAATGTTCATCATTCAGAAATAAAGTAATCCTAACAGAAGACTGGTGATGCTGGAAGGAATAAAGAGAAACAAAAAGGATAAATGTTTAGGTAAATCTAAATTACTGGTTCTCATCTGGGCACAGAATAATTCCCACAATACCCTAGGATACATCTGGTAATGTCTGAACACATTTTTGGTTGTCATAACTGAAGGGAAGGTTTTTGGGCCATCTACTAGCTTGAGGCCATGGACGGTACTAAGTATAGAAAGGCCAGCCCCCAACAAAAAAGAATTACCCAATCCAAATGTTAATAGTGCTACGGCTGAGAGAGCCTGATATAAACTTTTAGTATAAAACAGTAATAATAATATTAATAATCTTTTTGAGGGTTTAACATATGTAAAAAAGTAAAATAACACTAGCTGAGGTACGTGCCCTTGACCAGGAATAGAACCTGTGACTTTGCTGGGTAGAGTAATATGGTTGTAGCTCCTTGCTTTTCATCACTTTGAATATTTCTTGCCACTCCGTTTGGCCTGAAATGTTTCTGTTGAGAAATCAGCTGACAGCCTTATGGGAGCTCCTTTGTAGGTAACTAACTGCTCTTCTCTTGTTGCTTTTAAGATTTTCTCTCTGTCTTTAACCTTTGGCATTTTAATTATGATGTATCTTGGTGTGGGCCTCTTTGGGTTCATCTTGTTTGGGACTCTCTGGGCTTCCTGGACTTGTATGTCTATTTCTTTTACCAGGTAAGGAATTTTTCTGTCGTTATTTTTTCAAACAGTTTTCAATTTCTT